CAGCCGACGTTCCGGAGCTTCACATTAAAGCCGAATGAGATCCCAATCTTACATGCACACAACAAGCACCTTATTAAGCTAAGCTTTAATGTACCTGGTGAGGAGCTCAGAGATGGGATGGGCGGAGAGGATGGCCGAGCGGTCGCCGTTGGCTATCCTCTGGATCTCCGGTTGCAGGTCCTCGTAGGTGACCACGGGAATCTTGGCCTTGAAGGTGGCCCGTTCGGTGGCCCGGCCGAGTCCGTACCTCCGTAGGTACTCCGTGTCGGCGTTGCGCGTCAGGATCTCGGCCAGCACCCTCTCCTGCACCGCGTCCGCGTTCGCGGTCATCTCCTCGATGAACCTCAGTTTCTCGGCGTCCTTCTCGTTGGCCGCGTTCGCGCTCGCAGCAGGCACCACGGTCTCCACGGCCATTTCAGTCTTCTTCACAGTGTCGCAAGCGGCAGTGGGGGATCAGCAAGCAGAAGGGGGGGGGGGGCGGGGAGGGAGGAAGCCCGAGATCGCTCTATGGGAAGGAATGCAAGACCGAGATGGAGAGCGGTGTGGCCACTGCGTGGGCAATTTATAGGCGAAGCCCATCGTCAGATAACAGCTGGGCCCGCTCAACGGACGGCCGAGGCTGCACCAGGGGCGACACCGCGGGCCCCTGAGGTCGCGTCCAGATCCGGACATCTCCCCGACACGCGGACCCCAGTGAGGCGCGAGCGCCAGGCCGGCACCAGTCGCCGTCCACATCGGCACCGTGCGACTGGGCGTATCACCCAAGCGCCGCCGCCGCCGGAATCCACGTGTCATTATTTCGGGCGGGCACCGCGACGGGATCAGCTTATCCGGCGCAAGACGTCTTCGGTTCCTTGCCCTGATAGAAGAGGATTTCCATATCCGCCTCGGAATTGGATGTCCCAAGTGGAATCGTTCAAAGGATTTAGAGGGCAGAAGCAGCAGTGGCTTTGGAGTGCACGTATGTCGTATGATGCAGAGGCTTGTTAAAGCCGGCACTGAGATCTTTTGCCTCAGGAGCAATGAACATCTCGATTTGCAGGTGGCGACTTTAGATCTTAACCAGCCCTTGTTTCATGATTCAGCATGTGAGGAGTCGATCCAGTGTTGCTGCATGGATCGGTAAAAATGTCTGCTCTGCAGCAGAGCCAAGAAGAAGAGCTACAGTGGAACGATGATGTGCATGATTCGATTGCTTGAATTAATCCGGAGGAGAGAATAATTGGGAGATGAGCAGCAGAGACAATGCACATGCGCGATGAATTGTTTGTGGCAAGAAAGATGTCGACTTTCTGAATCCAGAGAGATCATGCTGGGGGTCCATCATTGACACTGCCATTATCCACCATCTCCTATTGATCGTGTTCATGATTGCAGTAGATCCATACACGAACATCTACAGAGGATCTGACTTCTCTCTTTCGCATCAAGTTGCTTAGCTTTCTTCATTCTTTTGACACCAGCAGTCGATTGATTACGGTTCGATTTGCATGTGGTCACGGTGTCACCAAAGACAGTGACCCTTCAACAACACACTCATCGTTCAACTCCACATGTCTCTGCGATCGGCAAGCAGGCTTGATGAATTCCTCATGAGACGTCCCGGTCATCATGTAACGTGAAGCCGATCGGACGACATCCTCGAAAGCTACACAGCTTGAAGCCTAGTGAAGGTATTCGATCCGATCATGGAAGGATCGCAGTTGTAGTGTTTGGCTTAATCAAGGATGCTGTACGAGTTCCGTGCATGAGAGAGGTTCGTGGCGAGCAATACGGAGGTGAGACCTCAAAAACAGAGCTCTACGTGGGAATCGAAGACAGACTAGTCTGATGGCCGAAAGAGATGCTGAGCTTATTCCTTTCTCTCTCTCTCTCTCTCTCTCCACTAAAATCTTGCCAAATCTTCGATTCCATCTGCTTCAATCTCCAAACATTCAAAAGCAAAATCATGAAAGCTTCTTCGTGCCATCGTAGCATTCCCAACTGCTCTAAAGCAGTCAATGCCTACTGGTAGAAGTAACTAGTGATTCCAGACACTGACAGATAGATATATATATATATCATATGCTCTTGGCTGAAGCTAGTACAAACAGTGTAGGGCAGATTACATCTAGGAGATACGTAGAGCAGTAGCTCAACAAAACTGTCCACTGTCCATGTCTTATTCTGCGTGTTGCAGAGAGTCAGAGACCATGGTCCATGTCTACAGAGGGCGTGGGACAATGATCCATGTCGATGCACGCAATATCCCCCACAACCTCCGTGCTTGTCTGTCACCAATATATGCAACCTCAAAAAAATCCATGGCTTTCACGCAGGGATTAACGTGCCTGATAGCAATTGTTTAATCATTTGCATTTACTTGGAACAGGACAGCTCTTCATTGGTCTCCCCAAGTGCTGACCACCATAGTCACGGACGAGCCACTGTCCTCGGTCCTTGAAATGAGATTAACATCCTGCAGTGGCTGCCTGCTACTTGCAGCAGCGGATCCTTCCAAGTGATTCAAGTGTTTTTTCATGGAAATGTGAGTGATTCGGACCTGGAACAGATCTGCTCATGGTGGGTTGCACTGGAGCAACGGTAATCCAAGAAGGGACATTTCGGATCATAAACGCGGCTGGCATCCTCTTAGCTGCAGAATGGGGCTCCGTGCTTGCCACCACCGTGGATGGCGGAGCAGAGATGTAGGGTTGGTGGACGCCATGGAGGACCCATCAACTGCGCCCTCCCTTTCTCGTCATCCGATCAATAGATGGGGACCGTGCTCCTCTACATTCCATCGGAGGAGTACAAATGTGTGGATCCATGTCCAGAGTCCACGCTGCTGTCTCGCCACAGCAGTGCACGTGGGGGAAGTCTTCACATCTTGCGAAAGTGTGGAATTTTTGTCGGAAGGAAGCATGGCTGAAGCCGATGCATCCTCTCCGTCCTCGTTTATCCATTCCTTTATCTCATTGGCACGCACCGAGAGGATGCAAAGTGTTTACCGAGCTCGCAGGGTCAAAAAAGCTGGACTTTTTCCCAAGGCATCCACACACACACTCTCTCTCTCTCTCTCGCTCTCTCGTCGAAGCTTCCTCTCTCCCACACATCGTGGCCTGTGCATTCTGCACATGATGATCCTCGGTCATCCGGAATTGGAGATTCCAGAGGTTTAGGCTCAAAAGACTGATGCTGTGCTTCTCGAGGAAGCCAGTGTTGGTGCGATGGCATGCTTGGTGGAAGATTCTCTGCAACTGCTAAGCATTGGACAGCGGTGACTTATCTTTAACGTTTCGGATAAAGGTCATCTCAGAGAAGGGCGATGAATTGGGATTGTACTCGGTGGCAAGTGGAGAGGCAAGTGGGAAGAAGAAGCTGACGGACATGTTAGTTTCGGTAAACCTTCTCCCAGTGGATCAGCATCAGCTGTCGTTTCTGTGAGGTCACAGGGTGCAGCACTAATGAACTGTGGACGGACCCGCGTCGGCAATGGTGGTCGCCTTTAGGCCAAAAGGCATGTCATCGTCTTCCCCGGCGGGGATTGAGTGGCTACGACATCTGAGATCCGACTCTGATGCGATCAGCTTAACGTGGCTTGGATTAATGCTGGGTAGTGGAATTATGTTGCCACCAGAAAAATGAGAGATGTCGGCCTAAATTAAGTGCTTGACATGGTCATGAATTGGCTCACTCACTCATCGGTGATTGTGCAAACAAAGTCTCTTTCGATGAGTCGAGGCTTTGAATCATCATGCTCATCGTCTCAAGATCACAGAGAAGACAATAAAAGGTGCGGGTGACGACATCATCCTCATTGATTATTGGTGTCAGTTAGTTCCTAACGAAAGAGATGATGTAAATATCAGATTCTCTTGCATTTGCTTAGATTCTCATCTACCGGAGTCAGTGAGTTCACAGTGATGATCTGAGGAATGGATAACCCCAAGAAGAAGGATTATGGTGTGTCGATGTTGGTTCCTCTGTTACCAATATGAGGTTTAGTGGCTTTTTATGGTGGGAAATCTTCCCGGATCCATCTTTTAGAAAGCAGAAAACAAGGAATATATTCTTATAATATGATTTAAGTGCTTCTATGAAACGTCAAGCTAAGGAATATGTTCCTGAGATCGACCACTTTCAGGACGATTACGAATCAAATGACGAAGGTATCATTTTGGAATATATCTATCTTGCAAGAAACGTAATGATATCCAACCTAACCAAGGAAAAATTATTGGAAGGTTTGGAGAGACAAAGCACTCATAACAATGACAAAAGCGAGTGGGAGGAAAGAGAGAGAAGAGATAGAACTGGGAGAGATGACTAGATGTGAGCAGATAAAGAGGATGGCATTTTGTCTTCATTGGCAGGTCATGTGGCTCCCTTTGGTCAAGCTGTGTGCCTGTGAAACCTAACTAGATTCCTCTAGAATCCTACATGGTTTAAGATAAATAGCCTTTTGTTGCATGCCTGCCTGCCTCAGTCAATGGACATATAACCATGTTAACTTCATAGGGTACATGGAAATGCATGCAGCCATGTGTCATGTGCATAGTGCACCTGTCATGTTGGAGCTACTACAAGTGAAAATTCTTATCTACATATGTGTTTGATTAGCCTATAATAGCTATGGAATTGCTCTAAAATTTGTGTCAGGATCAATACATTGAGAGGTAGCTTTATTGGTCTCATGTTGAGAATGTTACAGTCCCAACCTTATATCTAAGCATGATATCTAAGGATAGATAGCCTCAAGTGGGGCTTCACAGACACACATTTTAGCTAAAAAAGAGTAATGGGAAAGAGTATAAGACATATAACACATCAAATGCAGCATAAAGATAGTATTCCAAATCAAATGGAATGAGAATAGAAAGCAAGAGACAACATAACACCCTAAAAGTCCAGCATATTTGGGATGCCTCCTCATCTAGCAACATTAAGCTCACCAGATAGCCATTTATTTGAAGAAAAGCAGCTGTAACTACAAAAACATACTTTTATTTGCATGTCAATACAATGAAATGTATGCTCAATTAAACATGTCTAGTACTACATAAGCAGCATGAAGTTGCAGCTTTTTGTACAGTACCACACCAATAAAATGTACATCTCTTTTTTTCTTTTTTTTTTCATAGACATAATTGATATTACAGAAAAAAAAGGGAAAAGGTAGATTGCAGAAAGGTGGATCTGAAAAATTGAGAAGATTATAGGATGATTTCTTCTTGAACGCTAACATTAAGGGTTTTATTTGGCAGGACAATACTGTTAACCACCACAACTTCATCTTCAACTGCAACAGCTTCTCCTAAATTTTAAAAGTAGATAAAAGAATTGGTCAGTAGGGTGCCCCTAAGTAATGGGATTGGCAATAGCATATGAAGTAGCTACCGAGGATAGTGATTCCAAGTTTGGCATTGTGGTCTCCCTCGGCCTGAAATACACACCCAAGTTATAAGATGATTAAGACAAAGAGTTCATTGAAATATACAAAGAATGTCATCAATGCATACAAAGATTGTATAAAACCCTTCAAAGATTCATAGTATTTGAATATAAACGTCAATTCCTTTGGTGATAATTGTTAGGTTCTCCAGCAACTACAGAAAAACATGAGTTGTAAATTTAGTATTGGGATTGGGATCGACCAGTGGTAAAACAATGATATCGGCTGGATCTACAGATTGTATCAGTAGCTTGGGAGCTTAAATCATAGAATAATACTCTTCTAGGTTCAGATGAGAAATATAGCACTATATTGGGAGATGAAATTCTGCTAGAATTTCTGTAGCAGACAACTGTCTGGTCCTTGGATATGAAATCTCCTCAACAATTGCAGATCTATATAAAATGAATATTTAACTAATTATGTACAGAAAGTAGCCTTTACACTCAAATGGTGCCCAAGAAAACAATGTTGAGCAATTATGTACTTCTGCTTGCACTCTAGAAAAGGTAAGGGCAAATGAGAATACAGTGACAAGAGAATGAAACCTACCTGTACTCGTGACCATCTCCCTATAGACGATTTCCAGCCAACGATAGCATGCATAACAACAGCATTTTCCTGTTAATAAAAAAAAAAAATCACATGAAGTACTTGGACATCAGTGTTCCTACCCAAGGCTCCAACACCTTTCAGTACAGACCTTAATTTCAACATCATCCAAGATGATGCAACTGATGAGCCTCACACCAGCTCCAATACGAGCATTTGCAGAAATGGAGACATTAGGACCAATCTGTTCCACCAAACCAGAATTATATCAGTATATAATACTAAGTTATCATATATATCCTTGTTTTATTCTCAATTCTAAAAAGATGAATCTTTGGTTGTCTTAGCCAAATATTTTTTATCGGACATATAGAGTTGTCCTTATAGATTCTTGCTGCCTTTTTTTTTTAAAGGCTGCATGATATTTCAATCCTTGCCTCTTTCAAGATCATATGAAAATTCTATTGTTAGTCATTGGAGCCAGACTCAAGCATTATCTCTTATTTATAGACCTCTAAAATATCAATTTCAAGCCTTGGTCATCATCAACCATAATACCAGAGGTCTTAATCATGAACTGACATACCGCCTGAAACGGTATGGTATGGGCAGTATGTATTGGTCTAGGCATGGGCCGATAGACGGACCACCCCTATTTTGGGCAGTCTGGTTAAAATAATAAAAATTCAAGAAAGTGGTGGGCCCCTGTCCAACTCAGCATAAAAAAACAAAAGTTCACAAGCCCTTTTCTCGGGTACGATGCTGCTGTGATGCTGCCACTTCGTTCACTGCTGCTTCTGCTTTGACGCTGCTTCTTTTCCTCTTCTTTCTTCTTCTGCCTTCTTCTTCCTCCGCCGCTTTTTCTTCTTCCTTCTTCCTCTGTTCCTCCACCACCACTTTCTCTTCATCCTTTTTTTCTTCCTCATCAAAACACTGGTACGCACCGGTGTACCTTGTGATGGTATACTGGTACGGACTGATAAGTACCGATCCAACAAATTGTTGAAATGGGTTCAGTACCCAAAAAGGCAATCCTTGATTTTAATATTATAGCACATTGAAAAGTGTAAAACAGTGGAGGACCATAAAGAAAGATAACCTTTGCACTTGGATGTACTTTTGCTGATGGATGAATATAAACATCACCAATGATGGTGGGACTTTTACTGCCATTCCCTGTAGCAAGAAGATGTGGAGAAATACAACGATATTGGGCCAGATACAAGGCAGAACATCTCAAAGATATCCTGAAACATTATATGAATGCAGAAACTGTAAGTAAAAAACAATTCTGAAACAAAAGAAATTTCACATGTTGACACTTCCTCACCCTGGGGTCTTGATCTGTTCCCAAAAGTCAAGCGTCTCATATGTATAGAGTTTCTTCTTTCCAGCAAGAGGAGACAATATATCCTGATCCAGCCTAACATAGTCTGCAGGAACTGTTCTGCTTAAAACAAATGTCAGCATATTGAAGAAACATTCATCAAATGACGGATGTTACCTAGATGAAAAGAAACAAATGTCAGCCTACCAAAGCTGAGTTGCCTAGATGAAAAGAAAACTATAGCTTCCAAGTTGAGTACTGTTGATCGTATGACAGATTGTTGGAACAAATATGATTATTGTACTACTAATTAGTAAGAATTCCAAGGCAGTAAAACATGGAAACCCCGTGAAAAGCCTAGGCAGAAGACCTAGGCATAAGATGTCTAGAAACAATTGGTATAGATTTTGTATTCATTGCCCAAACATGTGTCAAATGGCTGGTAAATTCCTAGAGAACATAAGTTTCAGCTCTACCATAGTGAATTTTCAACATAAAATATATTAGGAACAGTGCTCATCTCCCTTAGTTTCACATTGATCAAACTTCTGACCACAATCCTAAGACTTGTTAGGTGTTCATTTCCATGAGTCTTTTATGGGTGCTTTGTTGGGAAATGCCTCTTAAGATAGTAGCATAATATAAGTAGAGGAAGAATCAAACATTGGAACTTTTATAAGAAAGTGAAAACATAAGATATGATACTTAAGAACAAGAAGAATTCCATGCATCAGTGCTAAAATCACTTGACAAGCCACTGAAATTATTGTATTCATATACAAAGTACAAACTAGCAAAAGAACTACTTGCAAATATTCATTGCTTAATAACTAGACGTTCCTCGTCCTATTAGTCAAAACTATTTGAAATACTTAAGCAGCTGCTTAAGCAAATAAAAGAATTCGTGACCATCTAGGTCCCCCTCCAAGAGCCTGGTCATCTAGCTCAGGCACCTAGGTCACAACATTGTTCCTAATTGATTAATGATAATGAAACTAGGTATTCCGAATCATAATTCTCGCTCGCCAAAATTGTTTATAGGGAAAAATTTTTGCTTCATAACATTATGGTTTATTACTTAATTTTGATCTCAATGATTCCTTTTTTGACTTTTAAAATAAAAAACAAACCTCAGCTGGCAAATACCTTTGTGAATCATCTTTTGCTACTGTTCTCTCATAAACATTATGAATGTGTTCAATGTGTTTTTTTCAATTTCACTGAGAGGTATTACTATGTTAATTAATTACAACAGGCTAATCTGATCTAATTAAATGAAGAAATTCAAGATGCAAACTGAATCTAGAAGTCCAAAAATAGCACTGTTCATACTTTGTTGCTGATTGGAGAGCTTCAAAGCTGTTCATACGGTGCAAGTTAGCTGAAAAAATGAAACGGTCAGAAAGCGAACTAAGCATTCTTTTTTATATAAAAATGTAAATCAGAAAACCTACAAGCACAGAATAAACTTAAGGAACTATTACAATATTCTTGTGAGTTAGACAGGCCCAAGTTGGAATACACGAGCAAACACCAAAAGCTCATCAATTATTCTATTGCAGCAACATCATACAATTTTCCACAATCATAAGGAAAAGGGTCTATTGACTATGTAATAGATGTTACTAAAAAAGAACAGCTCTTAATTGGTTGTATGAATAAACAGCCGTTGATTTCTTTCTTTTATGCTTTGGCCATATTCCATTAAATTTACATTCTTCTAAAGCAGTATGTTGAGCAGAGAAAGAAATTGTCAGTCTATTTTCTGTCAATATCAATTTAATTGATACTTGGCGGCATGATGACATCCAAGCGGCTTGCACATGTGACCCAGATCTATGTTCTATCTTTGGACACACATGATCCATCTCCCCCAAACAAAATTTTAAGGTAACATGGATTTTTCTTGTTGATAATAGAAGTATTACAAACTCAGCAACAAGCATAAGTGCATTACCAACGATATGAATGAAATAGTTTATTAGCTAAAGCACTTCCTGATTTCTATATCTCTGTGTCTTCTTTTTCCCATGAGTTCACCTATTAAGACCTTTAAGCCTATCTGAGGTCTTCCAAAAGTAAATGCTTTGCGGTTGCAAGTATCTCTATGATTGTAGCCACCAGTCACCATTTGTACAAGACCAAAGTCAATTACTATTTGAACATCAAACCATATTAATGCTCTCTGCTTTCATATGGACCATAATTATAAGTAAAATAACTGAACACAATATAATGATCAAGTAGCAGATGCTATTCACAAGAAACTAAAGTTTCACTTTTTTTATTTAGTGTTCACATGTAGGAGACCCATATGGTTTGAGCTCATCATGCTGAACCACTCTACCATCCTTTTTATTTGCCTTTATATATCTTTCTATCTAATAATCACATTGTGTATTTTCTTTTTCTGCACCACCAACAGCACTTGAAAAGGAAATACAATGGTTAAAGTAGATCACTTTTTGGAGCTTAATTAAAAAATGAAGCAGGCAGAAGACACTACCAGTCATATACTACAGGCTAGGAAAATGTATAACAGATGAAGCAGGCATTTGCTTTTGTATAACAGATAAAATTATCTCCAAACACAAGAAGGCCATGCATTACAGAGGAAAATGATCTGTGTAACATATCTCAATCTATGTTAAAACTTGCACAAAAATAGATTAAACTTCACAAGTAGAAAACTAATTCAATTTCAAGATGTAATAAAATATCCATGAATGATAGAAAGGCATTTGTTTTGGATCAAGTTTCATGACATCCACATTGCTAAACAAAATAGACGGTTAACACTGTGATACAACTATTTCAAAGAAATAAAACATGGAAAATATCTACCTGTGTCTTTCCTTAGTGTAAAGACACTTTGGATGGCAGGAAAGATATCTGGTGTAAATATGTACACACCACAATTTATTCGGTCACTCACCTACAAAGCAGAATATTTATGGTTGTCATACTAACTTGCTAGAAAGACATACCACACTTGGAGATCAGAGAAAATAAAAATGGCATGCATAAAACAGAAGAATTAATATGTTGTTGAAATAAAAGAAGAATAAACTGCATACTTACAAAAGTTTCTGGTTTCTCAGTATAGTGGAGCAGCTCATTTGTAACAGGGTCTGCAACCAACTCACCAAACTGATTGGCTGATTCAGCAGATACCTAGAGAAAAACAAAAACAGAAAACTTTAGCATTGTAGATAACGGCCTACCAATAACAATATAACACCACCTAGAAATAACTAGATTAGTTATGGGCAGAGTTTCAGCACCTTAATTACTAATACTGTTCCTAGCCCACCATATGTTTTATGAGCCTCTGCATCCACAAAGCGCAAAATAGACTTTAAAATCAATATACAAGAAAAATAAAACAAGAAGTACTAATTAAAAGATATGTAGTTGAAATCTTTTAGCATCGTGGAAGCAGTTTTCTAACATGACAACAGGCCAAATGGATATCTAAAAGAATTAATGTCTATATCATCGGACCATAGATTCAAAGATCAAGCAAATTTCTGAACTTATATGCAGAATAAGTAAACATGAGGTAGCTCGAAAACAGGCAGCGATAGAGAGTTGTGGGCTTTGTCCTACAAGCTACAGAAAGGAACTTCTTGACAGAAAAGTGTTAGTATAATAAAAAACAACAGGGAGGAATTTCACCTCTGAAGTAAGAGTAGCTAACACTGATGTGTGTGTGAGTGATTGTGCGCGAGGTAGATAGATAGATACATGATAGTGACAATTAACAATTAAGCTTATAAAACTTTTACCACCCCGGACAATAAAAGATGCAAGAAGTAAAAAAAATCAGTATAGAAAGAGCTATATCTGAGGATTACCAAGCATATCTGGCAATGGGAAGCTTGAGCAAACATCACAGTTCAGAAGAACTATATGGGACTGCGAACAAAAAAGAAACAGGTAAACTAGAAGCACCCGAAAGCCCACATTGAAAACTAACTAATAAAAAAACTAATTTAAGTATGAGAGTAAGACACCATAACGACGAACAAAGATTTTCAATCATATAATGAATAGTTGGTTTCAGATATATAAATGAATGGACGAGGCAAAGAGATGCCAAACCGGGTCCTCTTCCATGATAAAATCTCTAAAGCTGTAAAGCCCTCCCGCTGAACCATGCGGCTTGTCTTCCCTTAGATACCTTAAGCAGATGAAAGAAGTAAGCAAAAGAACGAACACACCTATTCATCTTTTAGAAATTCATGTGGGCATCGAGAAGTAACTACCGAACAGGGATTCTGAGCTCAATCGAGATGGCTGACACATAAAGCGCAAACTCCCTCTCCTCGTAGAATCCAACAAGATAAATTTGCACCAAATTGGGGATCTACGACAAAAATCAACAGGAGCAAACGGAAGTACTCAGAATTTGGGAACGCACGCAGGATGTAGTAGCAAATAAACACGAAACACACTCTTCTGCAAGCCAAGATCGGGTGATGGACCATCGGCTGACCAGCCAAGGGAAACAACGGCTTCGGAACGTTCAAAGAAAGAGGCCGGAAGCGAGTTCCTGCAGCATAAGATCGTCTTTTCAGCCACAAACCCGTACAATTCACCAAAAACCCCAACCTTTCCAACAGACAAAGAACAAAGAGCTCCAAGATCGCACCTTTTGTGGGACCGCCGACCATGATCACCGCCACCACCCTCTCCTCCGAGATTCCCATCTCGAATAAACGCAAGTCCCAGATACGAAGCAACTCACGGAATCGTTAAGGAGAGGCGAAACCCTAGATATAGAGCAATGCGGGATCGGAACAACGGGCGGGGTGGGGGAGGGAGGAGAGAGCAGAGCGGCGGTGACTGGGGCGTTGAGTGATCCAAGAAAGCGCACGACTCGCGTTTCCCTTCGCTTAAGAACGGGAAGACGGGATTGTTCCGGCGCTAACGTCTCTCTCGTTCTTCGTGTACGTGAAGTAGTGTAAGGTTTTGGGTTTCCAGTCAACGAGTGTCTAAATTAAATGGGTATCGATGACTGGAGGAACACTAATCATCGCGCCTGACGTGTACCGTTAGTAGCCACTGAAGATTAACTCTAATAATACACGTTATTAACTTCTAATTCAAGATCGCCTTATACAATTATCCTAATAAAGCTCCAGAAATGATCAATTTCACATCACTAATAATGCAAATCTTTAGCCTTTGGATTGTGCCTCAATTACATTTGCAATAATATGAGAAGAAACGAACTCGGCTTCTATGACGACCACACGTCCCCTCCCCTGTCGCTAAGTTGGACGGTGTCACTGATATCCCAAGATAAGCTTGGACGGCAGCAGCCTCTCACCTCCACAAGCTCAGAGCAGCAATGGACGACGCTTGGTCTTGGCTCGCTACGCTCCCTGAGCCATCGCAATGGCCTTCCACGCCTCCCTCTCTTGCTCTTGCGTCCGCCGACAGCAAGTCCATCTGCCTCGCCGCCGACCGCACCGCCGGCTCCGACGCCGAGGCCCTCCTCACCTTCTCCATCACATTCTATGGCTTCCACACCTCCAGCCCCTCTCTTACCCTCTGGCTCTCGGACCCCGTCTCCCCCTCCACCCCTCACATCCCTCTCCTCCTCCAGCTCCTCCGCGAGTCCGTCTCCATCTCTCCCTCTTCTTTCTCCTTGTCCTCGATGAAGCTCGACCAAGAAGCCGTCTCGGGTGCCCTCGGCGAGGACGAGCAGGCCCGGGCTTTCCTCTCCCTCGCTCTCCTTCTCCGTCTTTTCTGGCTGTGCGCCACTGAAGCCCCCGCCGACGCGGGCTTCCTCTTCTTCCGCGCCCTCGACGCCCCCCTCGAACAAGCCCTCGGCTGCCAGCTCGCCCTGCGCGGCGTCCTCCTCGCGCTGGGGCCGGACGTCGAAGAGAGCTTCATGCGGTCCGTCGGTTACATGCTCTGTAAGTGGTGTATCCTCCGGGAGCTGCAGGGCAGCGGTTCGAGCCGCCTCCTCCCGCCCGGCTGTTGCCCCTCCTACGCGGCGGAGAGGCACGGGCTCTGGGTCCTGAGGGGCTTCGCGCCGGTGCCGGCCATGGCCCGAGTCGGCGTCACTGGATCGACCGGTGGCCCGAAACTGGAGGCAAAGGACTCTGTGCTGCGCTATGCCTTGGCCCATCAGCAGCTGGAAGCCGTGGTCCAGTTAGAGTACAACGTCTGCATGCGTGACCCACGCTTCATCCGGGTGAGCGTTCGCGTCGACAACATACGGCTCCACGTGGTCCGGCTCCGTTTCGGGCGGCGCAAGGACGGGGAGGACCGCGAGGAGGCAGGGGATGATGAAGACGACGTAGTGGGGGAACGGCACTTCCCGTCGCGGGCCCGAGTGTGGGTGGGGCCGGAGCTGGGATCGAGCTACGCCACCGGTCCGAGCCTGGGACGGTCGAGCGGGAACCCGGAGCGAGAGGTGGAGGCGATGCGGACGGTGAAGGGGCGGTTTGGGGGCGGGAAGACAGCCGGGGTGAAGGCGGCGGCGAGGACGGCGACGAGGGCGCGAGCGCGGAGCTGGCGTTGGGAGCAGGAGGCGGAGGGCGGGGCGGGGGTGTTCGAGGGGGTGCTCCACGACGGCGCCACGGGGACGGAGGTGGCAGCGTGGAGGCCGGTGGTCGGCGCAGGCGGCGGCGGCGGCGGAGGGGACCCGAGGGGCGGGATGAGGCGAAGGTACAGCGGATGGGGAAGGGCGTTCAGCAAGGCGGGTGGGGTGGTGGTGGCTGGGGACGAGGTGCCGGAGGCGGTGGAGTGGAGGGTGGGGAGGGAGATGGAGGGGAGGGTGGTGAGGTGGAGGATCGCGGGTCGGGTGTGGGTGAGTTACTTCGCCAATGACGTGAAGACGGGCTACTTCGAGACGAGGAGCGTGGAATGGAGGGAGGACGTGGACTTGGCTTTAATCGCAGGAACAAACGAGCTTCCAGTAATAACATGACCGTCGTTCGTATGAAGTCAAAATTATCGCAGTCGTCGTACATTTGTCAGTCAAAATTGTAACCTCAGTCAAAAGTATCGAAGTATTAGTCACGTATCTCTTATTGTCGTGGAAAGATGAAGTAAAGTGTCTTATTTCAGGCATGGATCTTCATTTTAGATCCATTAATATTATCATATTATATACTGTATGTATATTCGCAAAAAAATCTGGCCCTCGATCAAAATCTAATACTTTGCAATCCTCAATTTATATTCAAATATTAATTGGTAAGACACTTGCATGTAATTGCATCGTTTCTTGATATTAGATGTGATAGGGCTTATTCTGCTATCGCTCTCGTAGTCACAGTCACCAAATATGTTAGCGCAGACATAGAGCCTCGAGACTAAGATGAAACGTTGCATAGAATGTGCCATCTCGAACTCGAGAGGACGATCGTCCTTTCCCACATCATCCGGAGCTACACAAGATAACATCGTACGGTACAAAGTTGCTTTGAAAAGCTCGAAACGACGTCACGCAGCATTGTTCCGTGCAAATCGATTAATGCTTGCATAGAGGTACAAGCCAACCGCCCGAGGAGTCAGCCGTCATCATCAGACCACGTACAATTGACCCTCGCTTGCAGGTATAAAAGCCTTCTGACTGACATCAGGTAAAAGAGATTTCTTTTTTCCAAAATACTCCACTTGATACTGACTTAACCTTCGGAAGGATCGAGTCGAAAAATCCCCCTCTTGACCTTGACCTGTGTAGGAGTCCAACGATGAAAAAGCAAATCACTTGTCAAGGGAGATAAGGCCAACACTCAACCGGACCCAACATAGACTCCCATCCAACATCCAATCGCACCGATGATCCTGTGCATCGGGGCTCGTACCGAACCATGCTAACACCTTGACCACGATTTGAGAGTTCGTTAACAACATGTATCTTTAACAGAAATATGACTTCTAATACAAATAAGACTAGGCCATTTTTCTAAACAACATTATATATTTTTCAATATGTATTTTTTTAAATAATATATATAATTTAAAAATATTTAAAATATTGTTTTAAATTTTTTTAATCAATTTTTAATCTATTTTAGACTATTATAATATATTTTATCTTATTTATAAATTTTTTAATAACATTTATGGTGTTATTAGTATTTTTATTAAGAATAATATAAAAATTATTGAAAAAACTGTAAATGATATCGTATTATGTCTCTCTAATTGTTATTATTTATAGATCATTACAATATCATATTTTTAAAATTTAAGTTAGTTTGATTGAAATTATGAGTTTATTTAAATTATTTACAGTATTTTCGAGTAGATTTTATTGGATCGTTTATTGTGATAACTAAAATAATATAATAGTCTTTTTTTTTTATAATATTACTTTTAAATTATTTTAAAGTATCTATTTGAATCATGATATATCAAATGATTTTTAGTGTGTTTTAATTTTTTGTTTGACTCATTGTTTTCATGCAGAATTTATAATATTTTTTATTATGATGATTAAAATATTTATAAAAATAAAAAAATAAATGTTATTTCAGATAATTTTAAATAAAAAATATTATAAAATAAAAAATAAAAATAAAAATATCGATTGAAAAATACATAAAATATTATATTTTTAAGGAAAATCACCCAATAAAATTCAAGGAACAAAATGCACATTTAGAGAAATCATATTGTCTAATCCTATTTAATTTTATAGAAAATTCTTTAGTTCTGCCTCATATTCTCCTATAGCAGTATTAATTAAATCATAATGTCTAAGTAGGATATCCCTTTCTCTTCTTAGTTAAATCAGATTGCGATCTCAAATACTGTATACTGTCGAATCCACTCTGCAGCCTTGTGATGTAGCTTCACACCTAATCTTCAGGCTGTATTCATTCCTAGGAAACAAGCATCACATACGCTAAATGTGCTTACATTTCCCTAACCAGTCAAATTCATCATCGCTTGATACAACTCCTTACACACATCCTCTCTCTCTCTCTCTCTCTCTGTGCAACAGACACACATCCATCCTGCAGTTTCTGTCTGGTCCCTTTGCTACTTGTATTCTCGTCTTTTGCCCATTCCCATGCATGCATGCATGCAGGGTGAAAAGAAGAAGAATGGTTCTCTGGTCATGCTAGTACCAATCCTACAGTTAAAAGCGGCCCTCAGTCAACCCTCTTTTACGTATCGGAAAGGAAAGGCATGAAAAGAAAGCAAAGTCAGGTTTACGTACACTCCCACAGTTTGACTTGCTGCTGCTGCATGGCCTCTCACATAGCATCACCTTTTCCCCTCGTTGTAGGGAAAAGGAGTCGGACAAAAGGAGGACGTCGTGGGAAGAATGAACTGCTAAACTCCCCTGATTTGGTATACACCATCGAAGCTACTGAAATCTACCAAGAACTTGAGGTTACATGGAAGAACAACGTTGATTGTCGACCCATTTAGCTGCAATGCAATTGCTACGGGAGTTCCATAGTTCATACCACTAAGTAGATGAGAAATAGAACTTAGAAGATATAACGCCATTGATGGTGATGATCTTTTCGAAGTTGAAGGCAAGAAGGAAAACAACAGCAGCAAGAGATTCAAGGAGAAAAAGAGAATACATCAAAAGCCTGCGGTCACAAAAGAGAGACATGTAGAAGAGCCTCAACGATTGTGGAGAGGGTCAGAGGCGTGGGGAACTCTCCGCTCGCTGCCACGTAGCAAAGCCTTACCGGGGTCATCCCGCGACCGCACCGGAGGCAGACGGAACACCCGTCCAAGCTCCTCCTTCCCACCTCCCGCGGCGCTAGTCGCTTTCTCGCTCTCCTTCCCTCGGGAAGCCAACAAGAAGGCGAGGAGCACGAGAAGGGAGAAGAAGAAGACGAGTAAGAGCCGAAGCGTCGGTTTCCGAGCTCGAACTCCTCGAAACACTTCGTCACGCATTGTGGAGGCTCGCAGGGTCGGACTGTGTGATAGGGATAGAGCAAGAGAAGAGACGATGCATGCAACACGAGGTAACGAAAAAGAAATGAGGCGCTGTGTACGCCATTCTTCTCTCGCTCTCTCTGCCCTTGGATTCCCCGAAACCCGAGTGAACGAGTGTTCTCGTCGCCCGGACCACAAGTCATTGAGACGCATCCTGAGTTGGATATCAAAGCCCAATACTAAAATGTATATTGATCGGCTAATCATATTCGATTTAAAAGCATTATATACATATTTATATTAAAGATGATAGCAAGTTTGACTAATAAAAATTATCTTAGATCATTACAAAATTCCAGGATAAAAAATCATCCTCAATAATTACTATTTGCAAAACAAAAAAAAGTGATCTCATGTGTAATTTTAAATTGCCAGCTATGCAAGCCTTGTCTCTTTTTTTTATTTCACATATTTGTATGTAATTAATCTCTTTCTCACACTAATATTTATCACATCCGGGTCATCTTATACCGACGGCGACGGCGACGGCAACCTTCTGACTCCATCAGTCTCTCCGTTCCACGTTTGCTAGTGATAAGAGATCATTTTGTCCTTTCAAAATATATAAATTTTTGATTTTATATTTTATAATCAATGTGATGTGAGACTAAATGATTTTATCATTTATCGTATTTTGTCGCGACTTCGATGGTTGTTCTCGACCCCACGTCGGATCACAGCTATGTGAACCGTGTTCCTCGGGGAAGAGGGTCGTGTATCTCGCCTCGACGTCGATGGAACTCGTGAAAGAAATCAGCCATGTCTTTTTGTACGTTTTTCACCAAGTGGATATACTTGGAACAGTAGATGTAAGGCTGGTTGATTTTTCTTACGTGTTGGACGATATAAGTATGAGGATGGTGGAGGCCGAACTCCACAGTACTGCAACATGTCTGCGTTTGGTGGCATTGCTTGTGCTCTCTTCCTCCTCGTTGTTCCTCTGCTACTCATCGCCCGTCGCTTGCTCCTCGGAACACGAGGACTTGGGCTCCCGCGCGGCCCCCTTCGACTCCCGTTCATCGGTCACGTCCACTTGCTACGAGCTCCTCTCCACCACTCTCTCGCCCGCCTCGCCGATCGCCACGGCGACGACCTCTTCCTCCGCCTCGGCTCTCGCCCTGTTCTCGTCATCTCCTCCCCCGCCACCGTGGAGGAGTGCCTCGCCAGCCACAACCTTTCCTTTCTCAACCGCCCCCTCCTCCTCTCCGGAAAACACCTAAACTATGACGGCACCACCCTTGCCGTGGCCCCCTATGGCCCTAGCTGGCGCAACCTTCGCTCCATCGCCACCCTTCAGCTGTTTTCACTGGCCAGCTTGTCCAGGCTTGCACATATACGCGCTGCAAACGTCCGATCGCTACTCCGGGGCCTCTTCTTCCACTCCCGCTCTGAAGAGCGTGGGTTTGTGCCGGTGAGCATGAGGACGAGCTTCACAGAGCTGACGTTGAATACTTTGCAGGAGATGATCGTCGGAAAGAAGTGCAACGGGGGGTCAGCGGAAACAGAATGGTTAGACGAGGAGGGCAAAAGTTTTGCGTTCGTTATCAAGAAGGCTTTTCGTTTGAGCGCGGCAACGAGCCCTGAGGAATTCCTGCCATTCTTGAAGTGGATAGGGTTGAACGGACTTGAGAAGCAGCTGATAAGGATGCGGAAAGAGGTGGATGTTTTGTTGCAGGGGATGGTGGATGAGAGGCGAAAGGGGATGAGGACGGAGAGGAATGATGCAAACAAGACTCTCGTCGATGTTATGCTCTCCCTTCAAGAGGAGGATCCTCAGAACTACACGGATAATATCATCAAAGGAATGATATTGGTAAGTAATAGAACATGATCTCATGCTTCATCACTGGTGGTTAATATTAATAAATATGAATATTATAAGATGATATAACCTGTATCATAATTTAAGGTATCATGTTACAGCTTTAAATAAACATGCTATCTAACCATGTCTAGAATTTAAGGTCTTTCAGAAGTAGGACTCTCTTGTTGTTATTATTGTACTCCAGAATAGTACTTTCCTTCCTTACAAAAGTATATAATATCTAAAAAAGCTACCATTTACTAACTCTTCTTTTTATATGATATGCATATAGATAGATTGGGCTGAAACAAAAAAGATATATGAAGAGGTATGACATGTAATGGTAGGTTCGATCTATAATATATGAAGACTCATAATTCTTTGACTTATATTTTTTTTATGTGGATTTGCATCCTTTATTTTTTTAGTTGATCTTATCTAATTAGGCAAGATATATTATAAATATGATTGAATTTTGATTATGGTTATTGGCTAATAGAAATAAGTTCAACTATGATAGGATTACTTAGGAGATGACGTTGATGGGAGGGACTATTCTAATTATTTATCCTAAACTTTTTGCTCTCGTCTATAAAAAGATAAAACCTTTTAAGGCCAAGAGGGATAAGTAGATATATGAATACATGACAATATTATTATTATTGAGAGATTACGTATTTTTTCTCCTCTCTCTTTAGTCACGTAAACCATTCAATGAGATATTATAGATTTTTTCTTATTTCCTTTTTACGAAGGATAGTAATAGCGATACCGAGTTTAGATCGGTACCACTATAGCTTTTGGATCTGATGACAATGTGCCTGTAAATAAGATAAATATTTTTTTAATAGCATCGAAAGGTACGTATCATAAATTTAGATATATTGTTATTTAATTTTATATTTTGATATTAAAAATGTTTACAGTAACATATTATGATTTTTATGCTCACATGAACTGATTGTATTTTTATTACAAATGAAAATAATCATTTAAATTGATCTGCTTCCGTACTAAACCAAAAACTCAACAAAACCATTCAGCATGATATGTTTTTCCTCTTCTTCTTTCTTTTGTTGTGTCCAGGTTCTCATATTTGCTGGGTTTGATACCTCAAGTGTAACCATGGAGTGGGCGATGTCACTCCTCCTCAACCATCCTGAGGCCCTGAAGAAGGTTCACGATGAGATAGAGACTCATGTGGGGCATCAGCGCCTGGTGATTGATTCCGACCTCCCTCAGCTTCGCTATCTCAACAATGTCATCCGAGAGACCCTCAGGCTGTTCCCACCAGGGCCACTTCTGGTTCCACGCGAGTCAACAATGGAGTGCAGCATAGGAGGCTTCCACGTCCCGCGAGGCACCATGTTGATAGTCAATGCCTACAAGATGCACAGAGATCCCGCGTTGTGGACGGATCCCGCAGAGTTCAAGCCGGAGAGGTTCGAGAGCGGAGAAGGAGAAGGGTACAAGTATGTCCCCTTTGGGGTTGGAAGAAGACGATGCCCAGGGGAAGCAATGGCTATGAAGGCTGTTGGACTAGTGCTTGCGTCGCTGGTCCAGTGCTTTGAGTGGAAGAGACTCGGAGAGGAGGAGGTGGATCTCAATGAAGGCGAGGGGCTCAGCATGCCCAAAGCCATTCCCTTGGAGGTCTTGTGCAAGCCACGCCAAGCCATGATGGATGTCTTACCACAGCTTTGAGCGTTCCCGAGTTAAACTTCATGCAACACTCTTCCTCTTATAAACTTATTTTGCATGGGGGTGATTTACTAAAATAAAAAGTCATTGTAATAGAACTCATTGCAATGATAATAAATATATTAGAACTCGTTGGAATAGTTTTATAGATATTGTAGGTTTGGTGAAAATTTAAAGAGTTACATTTGATTATAGATTTAACAAAAAAATATTTTATTTCAAAAATTAATTATCATAAATTTATATAAAAATAAATAATAATAATAATAATAAACATATTAACATCTCGCTCTAGTAGTTCACAAGAAGTTTTAATAGGTTTGATGAAAATTGAAAGAGTTACACTTTATTAAAATATCTTATTAAAAAATTAATTACTGTAAATTCTTACAAAAATAAAAAAACGATACTAAATGTATTATCATATCACCTTAGTAGTCTTAGAGAAGTTTACATATATTTGATAAAAATTCAATGGGTTACATTTGATTCAATCCAAAAATATCATCTTTAAAAATTTATTTATCATAGAATAATAAAAAATAATGCTAAATATGTTAGAATGATGTATCATTAGTTCTAAATAAATTTGAATTGATTTGATAAAAATACCTTGGATACTTTTAAATTATACTCGGGTTACACTTGCTCATAAATTTAATAAACTCTGACCCGATCTATTGTGATCAGACATGACCCTATTCAAATTGTTCATATCGAATCAAATTAATGGCTTAAAATAGTCCAATTTAAAGGTATTATTAGAATTTTTTTTAAAAAATATGATATCTCTTTAATAAAATCTCAAGGAGTTTTTTTAAAAATTGCTCAAAACATAAAAGATTTTATATTGCAATGCCTTCCATGATCTGAAGAGTGTGATCCTACTAGGCAAACAAGTTAAAATGGCGGCCCATTAATAGCCCACATTTGTTTCAAGACTATAAATAGCCCTCCTCTCGATCAAACACATCGCAGACCACACATGGCGGGAGACGGCAAAGCGGCAAACCCCGCCAAGGTACGCGACGGTGCCGAGATTGACGCCGTTTCCTTCAACATCTGGCCGCCGTCGCAGCGGACGCGGGACGCCGTGATCCGGCTCCTGGCCGGGACCCTCTCCTCCCCCTCCGTCCTCACCAATCGCCACGGCGTCGTCCCCATCGAGGAGGCATCCGCCGCCTCATCGAGCAGAAGGCCTTCGCCGTCGCCCATTCCGACGCCACTGGGCTGACGGTCCTCCAGATCTACTCTAAGGAGATCAGCAATCGCGCGATCGATTCCGTCGAGTCGAGGGCCTCCGTCGTCTCATCTACCTCCTTTGGCGATGTGGATTCGGCGCCAGCTGAGACCGCCTCCTCACCGATGGTGCTGGCGAGGAAGCCGCGTCCGTCGAACCAGCGTCTGGTTAAGTTCAGCCTCCGATCACTTCTCCGTTGGTAACATCGCTTCTTTTGATTCTTCTAGTCACACATCTGTCATCTGTTTGCTGTAATGTCGGGTAGGTGGATAGTCTTCTTAGTGACCCGAGACTTGGTATTCAGATTTATGCATGAGTTTACATACATCTGTTTGCTGCTTCTTATTGTTCATCCTATCGTTAGAGGTATAAGCGAGCCCAGGGCATCTTTGATTTGCCGTAGAAAGTTTTACTCTTTGTTGTTGCCCCATGGATTCGTTCCTTGATCGAACTATTCAAGCCAAAAACTCATGAATTATGGGCTGTGGTTGGGCTCAGGTCAAGGCCTTGGGCTGGGGCTAAAGTCCTGTTTCTACTTTCAGTCAGCCGGACAAGGTTTCGATTGCTATGCTAAAAAGTTGTGTCACTTCACTGGAAGAGAACTGGAGGGACTTGAAAGATTTGTCATATAGAATTCAAGGGAAAATAAGGGAGATTTGTATCTTCACTCAGCTGGATGAAGGCTTGAGTAATAATTTCTTTTAGGTAAGTGAATTTAGTGGCTCAAAGTTTGTCATATGAGATTCCAGGAAAGTAATTTACGATTGAGAATGTGGGACTTCAAAAGCATAATTACTTGATTTTATAGGATTTTTCTGTCTGATGCCCTTACAATGGTAGAACTTCCTTCAATGCTATGTTTATAAAACCCTCAGTAGCACCACTTTCTAACTGTTATCTTGAAGTTTTCAGAATACTTTTGATGAACCTACCTTGGCTGATATCTACCTAAATGTCAATGTGATAATGCAAAGAGTATGTTTGACCTTTGTGTTAGTTTTTGGTGGTCATTTTTAATATGCCAAGCTGGTAGAGCCTAGTCAAGTGCAAGATGACAACATAGCTACTGAAATGATGACAGAGTCACCATTTTTTGAGAGAGAAAGAATGCGACAATCATACGTTCATAAACACCTAAGAACGACTGAATTAATTGGGGCAACATGGAATAGGTTTCCTAGAAGTGCATTGCCCCAGTGTATGTCCCATCAGATGCCCACTCTGTTTGCCAAAAATGAGACATGGAAGTGATAGAAGTTAGGCAGAGATGAATGAAATGTGTGGCGAGATGGCATAGGGACAAGAATGATATGATGTGTCCTCTCTCGAACTCATGCCTATGGATGCTTGCAATGATCTCCCCCCTGTTTTGTTGCTATTTCTTTATTAGATCTTGTAAGAGTTCCTTTCGAGCAACCACAAAATCTATTTTCATATATAATCACAAGTCTTTTTTGCATCAGTAGTTTGATTCAACTCGTTTTGTGATGTGACCTACTTGCACTATTTCATTGCGTGATTCTAATGAAGCATGCCGTGACCTTTCTCTTCCTTCTCTTTTGTTCTTCGGTGATGAAGGTCAAAATAGGAAGGGTGGAATTCAAAGCGATGGCAGAAGTAATTATGATGGTGATGCTGAAGTCGGCAGTAGCACTGGTGGTGATGATGGTGAGGGGTAAGAGCAAGTGGCGATGGTTGGTATTTGTTTTATGCACGTTGCTCAAAGCAAACAAAAAGAAAGGAACATGCATGACAGTAGCGATGGTGATGCTTTTTAATTGGGGTTAAAGTCTATTTTAACCCGATTTTAACCCTTATATATCACTTAAGTTTTTATAATTTATTTATATCTAAAATAATTTTTATATTTTTAAAAATATAACGTATAAATTTCATCCATCAAATCTAAGTTAATAGTTGTTAGACATGTTTCATAATAAATCATTAATATAATGATACATATAATTTAAGTATTTTTTAAAAAATTGATATCACCATCGATGATGGGAGAAGACGTCGTGGAAGTGATCACCAATAGCAGCACCGAGCCATTGATGCTTAACAAGACATCATACTTATGTAGCCTCTTTCGCATTAATGACGAGCTAAGGAGCTTTCGATCCTGTTTCATATGAATGTGTGTGCACACAGTAGTCTTCTAGTCTCTCTTTCTCTTCTTGGACGTATTCGTTTTCATTGTCTTCCACTTCGTCCTCTCTTGCACTCTTACCGATCGTGCTTATAACGTGGTGGTCTAACTCTCTTCATCTTTGCCTCCGGCCTCTCTTACCTCTACCTTTTCACCTTCGTTCGTCGCTACGGCATCTGTTACTTCATCTTCATCTTTCTCAATAAGATAAATCTTAATTATTTTTTAAACTTAAATTATATGTGTCATTATATTAATGATTTATTATAAGTTAACATATTAGGTAAGCATATTCTAATGTCTATTAATTTAGACTTAACGTGAGGAACGTATATATTATGTTTTTCAAAATATAGGAGTTATTTTAGTCTAAATCATAAATGATTTAAGTGATCGATGACCAAGATTAAAGAGGCTAAAATGAATCTTAGCCCTTTTAATTGGGTGTGAAAACATGAGATGAGAAAATTGTTAATTAAGTTATGAAAGCATATCTAAATACCATATATATATATATATATATATATATGTATATATATATATCCTTTATATATCAAAGGATAGGACAATACTTAGGTGGGTTTTGGCCCAACTATTAGCATTTATTTATTTTATTTACTTTAGCCCTCATCTGATATTTCCTGAGGAAAAGAAAAGGATCAAAATGCCACCATGGATTGAATTTAAGGCAGCAAAAGAAAACTAATCTGTACTGAATTTTGTAAACTAAAATTGGAATAAAAAATTTATATAATAAATGAACATTTAAGACAATGTTAGTTTTTGTGAATATATACTCAGGAAAACATGAGAACAATGCCAAATATATGTTCCAAAAAGATAAATATTGCAAATGTTTTTTACAGGAAGGTTTAAGAGGGACAAAGAAATATAGAGTCACTAAGTAAGCAATGACTAGTTGGTCCAAGGTTTAGGAAAGATGAAAAGACTGACAGTAACAGTGGTAAGTAAGTTGGCCAGGGAGGATCCACAAAACTAGCATTGGAAAAGGTGACATTGGCTAGCTCTTGATTAAACACTAAACTAGAAAAGATGAGAGAGCCCACTCTCTTGATATCATTTGATTAGCTCTTAATCCAAATGGCAGTAGGAAGGAAGGAGCATTCACTTTGGGCAAAATGACCTTTAGAGCACCTAATAGCTCTCACAGCAGAGCTGGACAGCAACAGGGAAAGAGCAGGATAATGATGTCCTTTTGCCATTTGCTCTTCTTACACTCTCTTTTCCTACTTCCTCTTTGACTTCAAACATAGTTTACCCAAGGATACCTTTATATCATGAGATGGACCAATGTGTCTGTTGTGTAGGCATTGAATAAGTGTCCTCCAAGTAGAATAAACTACTGCCCCTTAATCAATGCTGCCATTTCTTTCAATCTTTTAAGGAAACCCAAAGGCCCTTCCTTGGCCTTGGTATTTACTGCAGCCATAAGAAAAAGAAAAATATACCCACTTTGAGAATTTAGTACAGGAGAGTAGCAGCAGCTGCAGCAGAGTGAAGATACTTTTAAGACCCAATGGATCTTCTCTCATCCCTTCCTGACATGTTAATAATCACTTCTGCTCCCCATGGCTCCACCTTTTGTTGTCCTGAGTTCAGCATCTCTGCTTACATCCTCTCTGTCTGTCTCTTCATCATCTTCATGCTCTTCCCATCCTACATAGACAAACAAAGGATACAAGGGACTGGGAGATAGCTCAACTGAGAGAGAGAGAGAGAGAGGAAATGGAAGAGGCCAAGGATGCCAAGAGGGCTAACAGGAAGGAATGCAGTAGCCCAATGGAAGGGAGGCCTCATCCCACCAAGCTTGTGGAACTGTGCAACCCTCATCAGCTTACCCACCTCCAAGATGGTTCCTGCCACAGCAGGAAATACCAGGCTTACCCGGCTCTTCTGCCCCTCCCTCTTCCTCTCCCTTTGCCTCCGCCGGTGCTGCTTCACATCCCTCCGATATGTACTCTCCCTCATAGCATAAACCCCAAACCAAGAGCTCACATCCACCGAGCCTGGCGGAAGGAGAAACCTTTGGAGGCACAGGTTGCAGTCTTACCGCTTCCTCCAGGTATTTTCTGCCTCTTCTTCTCGCTTGTACTCATGGCTATTGATGCATACTTGTTGGTTGGGAATTCTCTACTGTTCCATGCTTGCACTTTTTGTTATCCGTAGCTCCTGTTTATCGGATGACAAGCCACAAAAACTTTTGACTGAGGTGCACGGGGAAGGGGTGGGGGGGGGGAGGGGGGGGGAGGTCGCAAAGCAAACAAAAACAAGCACACCTGCAACTCTTGTAGGACAACCACAATGCATTTGTACATGTCAATCCTTTCACTTCTTCAAAGAGGACATTAGTGTTAAGAACATGGTTTGTCTCTTCAAGTAATAGGGAAAGAAAGTTAGTAAAACAGTTCCAACTTACCTTAAAAGCTTCAACTTCTGCTCTCATCATGTTTCTTTTTCCCAAAAAGTAAAAACTCTTCTTTAATGGAATTAGTTATCCTCAGATGTATAATCTTGGGTTCTATATTTCCCCAATCAATCCTTCATGGACTTGGCATTGGATTTCTTTTGAGTACACACATTGCTTATTGTTGGCGTCTTCTTCCTGTTCTTGTGATACATTGTAGCATTCAAACCATGAATTTTTTTCAGCAGATATCAAGTTGATCAGACCGCAAACCGACTTGATGCCGGAAATTAAGATCTCCGACATGGGTGGAAAATGCGTAGACTGTCACTTGAAACCGGTGGCTGATCAACAAGCATTGGTTGCCACCAGGAGGCCTGATGCCGGTGGTGCGGAGGGGCCTGTCATTCACCTTCTTGCAAATCACTTTCTGGTACGGTTTGATCCCTTGCAGAAAATCTACCATTATGATGTGAATATTTCTCCCCGCCCCTCCAAGGAAATTGCTCGAATGATCAAGAGGAAACTCGTAGAGGACAACTCAGACATTCTTTCTGGTGCGCTGCCGGTTTTTGATGGCCGCAAGAATTTGTACAGTCCAGTCGAATTCCAAGAGCATAAGCTCGAGTTCTTCATAAGTCTACCAATCCCGGTGACAAAGCACGTGCGTGATGAAGGTGGCAGTGTGCTCCTTGAAAACAAGAAATCTAAGCTGTTCAGGGTAAATATAAGACTAGCTTCCAAGTTGAATGGAGAGGAACTGAGCAAATTTTTGAAAGAAGAGGAAGATGGAGCTTCTCTTCCTCAAGACTATCTCCATGCGTTGGATGTTGTCTTGCGCGAGAATGCAACAGAGAATTGCATTCAGATGGAGAGATCATTGTACTCGAACACCATGGGTGGAGCAAAAGACATTGGTGGTGGTGTTGTTGGAATGAGAGGCTTCTTTCAGAGTCTTAGACCAACAAAACAAGGCCTCTCCCTCAATGTTGATTTCTGTGTGACAGCTTTTCATGAGAGCATTGGCATCATCCCTTACCTACAAAAGCGTTGCGACTTTTTACGAGATCTCTCGCATAAGAAAACCAGGGGATTGATAGGAGAAGAGAAAAGGGAAGTGGAGAAGGCTTTGAAAAACATTAGAATCTTTGTCTGCCACCGGGAAACAGATCAGAGATACCGAGTTTATAGCCTGACCGATGAAGTGACGGAGAATCTCAAGTTCAGAGACAGAGATGGAAAGTACTTGATGTTGGTTGATTATTTCAAGGATCAATACAACCATGACATACAATTTAGAAACCTTCCATGCTTGCAGATCAGCAAAAGTAAACCATGTTATCTACCGATGGAGCTCTGTATGGTTTGTGAAGGCCAGAAGTTCCTCGGAAAACTTTCTGATGAGCAGGCTTCGAGGATTCTGAAGATGGGCTGCCAACGACCTGGTGAACGGAAGGACATGATCAATGGCGTCATGGGGGGAAGAGTTGGCCCAGCAAGGTAAATTATGTGGACATTAAATTTTCTTTTCTCTTATTGAGGGTGAATAGAATGATTGCTGGACCTTCAAAAGTTGGCTAGATTGTGGAGGTTGTTGGACGTCATAACATCTATCAATTATTTGGCTCATAATTACATAAATGTGTAATGCAAGTTTAATTTTCTTCATCGCAGTGGGCTTTATGCAGCTCAGTTCCAGCTTCAAGTTTCTCGCGAGATGACACAACTTTGCGGAAGAGTTCTTGAACCTCCCAAACTCAAGCTCGGTGATGGTGGGCAGGTTAGAGATATAACTCCATCTCGATATGACCGGCAGTGGAACTTGCTCGACAGTCACGTGGCTGAAGGCAGCCATATCAGAAGGTGGGCTTTGATAAGTTTTGGTGGAACACCAGAACAGCGGTCCTGCATTCCTAAGTTCATAAGCCAACTCTCATACAGATGCGAGCAGCTTGGAATATTTCTGAATAAGAAAACTATTGTCAACCCATCATTTGAGCAGATTCAAGTTCTGAACAACGTGTCCGCTCTGGAAAATAAACTCAAAAAACTCCATGAAGCTGCTTCAGGAAACCTGCAACTGGTCATCTGTATAATGGAAAAAAAGCATAGAGGATATGCCGACTTAAAGAGAATTGCCGAGACAGTTATAGGTGTCATAAGTCAGTGTTGCTTATATTCCAATCTGACTAAGCTTAGTTCACAATTCCTGGCCAATTTATCCCTGAAAATCAATGCTAAGCTTGGTGGCTGCAATGTGGTGTTATATAATACTCTACCCTGCCAACTACCTAGAATTTTCTCAGACGATGAGCCTGCCATCTTTATGGGTGCAGATGTTACACACCCGCATCCACTGGATGATGTTAGCCCATCTGTCGCGGCTGTCGTTGGAAGTATGAACTGGCCTGCAGCAAATAAGTACATTTCTAGGATGAGATCACAGACTCATCGGCAAGAAATCATCGAAGACCTCGAGGCTATGGTTGGTGAGCTAATTGAGGAGTTCCTTTTTGCAGTCAAAAAACTTCCCAAAAGAATTATTTTCTTCAGAGATGGCGTAAGCGAGACCATGTTTCATAAGGTGCTGAAGGAAGAACTGCAGGCCATTAGAGTAGCTTGCTTGAGATTTTTCAATTACAAGCCTACCATTACATTTCTTGTAGTCCAGAAAAGACACCACACAAGGCTCTTCTTCAATGAAAAGAAAGCTTCTTATGGTCAATTCTCTGATGAAAACATACCACCAGGAACCGTCGTGGATACGGTGATTACCCATCCAAGGGAATTCGATTTCTACCTATGTAGTCACTGGGGGATGAAGGGGACAAGTAGACCCACCCACTATCATGTTCTATGGGATGAGAACCAGTTCAAATCTGACGAAGTGCAGAAACTGATCCACAACCTCTGCTATACATTTGTCAGGTGCACCAAACCAGTTTCTCTTGCACCCCCTGCATATTATGCTCATCTTGCTGCGTATAGAGGTAGATTGTATCTAGACAGGTCTGATTCCACGACATTCACAAGATCGACACTATCTAGAGCTGGACCTTTACAGACGGCACCGCTGCCAAAGCTCAGAGACAATGTCAAGAAGCTGATGTTCTACTGCTGAGTAGTTTTTCCGTTATGCTGATAAATTTTTGACAACCGGTTAACGTGTGAAGATATCACATGGCCGGTCAGTTTCGAGTGGCAATGTGCAGCGCAAGCAGCATTCTTTTTGTGGTGCTGTCTGTATCGACTGGTAATTCAATATCGAAGAAGTTCGTCCTACGAACGAAAGGATATTCAAACACCAAAAAGGTACTCCCAATTTCCGTCTGTGCTAATACATTGTAGTTTGCTGATTTTGCTGCGATATTTTGATATAGTGAACAGTATTATCTTTCTTTAAGCTGGCATATTTATGGTCAAGTGTACAAGCTTTATTTTGTTGCCTAGATTGCAATAAAAGTATACTAAGTTGGGTGTTAAGTGGTCCTCCTCCATTACAAGTTCTACATGTGTTTCCCTTGCATTGAAACCCAAAAGCACTAGCAGTGGCTGGCCTCTATCGAAAAATCCCATTTCTTGTAAATCCCATTGCTGTTGTGGGTAAAATGGTTCTTCGGCTCCTTTGACACATAAAAAAGCCTCTAAAGTAGTCATTGTGTGTGTAAAAACTGGTATTTATGATCCATGGACTTGCAAGCTCTTCCTCATCGATTGCTTGTGCTCCAATGTTGTTTACAGAATAGTTGCACATAAATTGATGAGTAAATGGTAGAAACATTGATCTCAGTGAGATTTCAACTTTAGCCAACAATACAATAATACTTCCAAGTCCCATCTTATCCCAGCTGTGAATATATATATGTGCCAGCAAAGACTGTTTGTCTACTGTGGATTCAGCATTCAATCATCAACTGCATTGCTTTACTATTTTTACCTCTATGGATGAAGAACCTCAACAATTAACAACCCTCCCTCAGCTATTAAATCAATTTAAAGTTTGCTTGCTGCTTGGTTATCACCAAAGTTAATCTCAACCATCTCTCTCTCTCTCTTTGTCCCCCTGTGTGTCTCTCTTTTGAAGCGCAAGTAGCTATTTGACTCTTTCAATGCAACAGCTTTGGTGAGCTGATAGAAACACCCACAGGAATCACATCCTGCACTGTCAACCCGGCAAGTCGAGCAACATTCTCAATGTAGCGGCTGCCCATTTGACCACCAATCTACACTCCACCTTAGGCTTTAGAAACGGTTCCATTGCATGCCGAGAGAGGTGGTGGCATTCTGTCGGATATCTTTGACTTGCCACAGCAGAAGAAGAGGGGAGTTCGAGGTCTCCACCATAGATATATAATTAGATATCGAAGGTGATTTGCTCTTTTACAAAAGATTAAAGAAAAATGACAGCCTTTGTTATTTTGATGGATTAATACATTAAATTTAGCCATAATTATTGGTTTGGGATTCGTGTCTATCCGATACACATCGAGACTCTGATCACAACACTGTGCATCGCCCGAAGAGAAAAAGAGGACAACGAAAGAAAGGCCTTCGAGCTGTGTTGTTCTTTCATGACATGAGAGATCGATGTCGCCTGCACATCCGTGTAAGAGCTCTACGTAGGTCTTTTCACGTAGGTATTGTATTGTTTTTTGCCCCATACGTAATTAATTGCATCGTAACAGTTTATAGAACGGAGTGATTGTAGAATTACGTGGTTTTTATTTCTGAAATATCAATGATAAAAATTCACGAAATATCGCTTGTTGATCAGTTTAAGCTTTAACATGAATAATCAAGAATAGAATAAGGTATCAATGAAGTGATACGCCAAATCGCACGCGACAGATTCAATCGGATGTCTCATCTCAACTTGAGTATTTACATGTTGTGACAGCGAATTGATATTTACTAGTATTTTGGATTGGCAATTTGAATGTTTATTCCTTTAAAGTAAGTGATTTTTTTTTTATGTTTCTCTCTCTAGATTTTGTATTTTTCGTTTATTTTTATCAATTGGTGGTCAATATAATGACATTAAACATCAATTGATGTTAGTATCCTTAAAAATACATCTCTTATTTCGTGGATGTAAAGTGACATCAATTGACATTAAACATCAATCGATGTTAGTATCCTTAAAAATACTTTCGTCATCGTTGTATCAAATCATTCGTGGATGTAAAGTGACATTCATCTCTCATCGTCGCTCTTCTCATCCAGAATAAATATTTGTGGCTTCTATCAACGTTGTCGTCCGTCACTATCAACTTGAATATTAAAATTATTTTTATTATTATTTTATTTTTATATTTTTATTAGTAAAACCGATAGCGTTAGAACAAATTAACATAGATGTTTTATTTTTATAATTATAAGAATATCAATATATTCATGGACCGCATCGATCAACACACTTATTTCAATTGTTTGATAGAAGGTATTTTCTAAATCATGATAAATAAGGTTGGCTTAGAAAAATATAGAATTAATGTATTTTTTAAAAATAAAAATACAATTTTTTTGAAAATATATTCATATTTAAGTACTTAAATATCTAAATATTTGAAAAGATATAATATATTATATTAAAAATTTAGAGGCAATTTCAAACTCTAAAGGGGGAGAGAGAGAGAGAGAGAGCGCGACAACGACGTTTCATGTGCATTAAAAATCTCCGCTTTGTCTCCCCGATGCAGTGTCATAAATGCCGTCCCTTCCTCTGCAAGCCTCCCTTCGTCACCGAATCACGGAAGAAGCAGCAACAGCAGCCTGTCGAGTCTTGTGCCACCGTTTCTTCGTCACCTTTCTCTCTCTCATGATTCCTCTTGTCTTGCCTTCCTCGATCTATGACCCAAACTCCACCGTCGCTCTGCATTAAATGCAACCCAGAGCCTCTCCCTCACCCTCTCTCTCTCTCCGCAGCGTCCCGTTGTCTGCAACCTAACACAATAACATCCCCTCTGTCTTATAAGTGCCTTTCAGGATATGGAAATGTGAGTGGAGGGTACCGGTGGCAGAGAGAGAGAGAGAGACAGTGGCCATCATTACCTTCTGCAACTGTTACCGACTCATGCCCGAGGAACAGTGATACGTTGAAGTAACCGCTGAGCGAGAAACAACAGCTTCTTCACAGCCCAGCAGCTGACACACCTCCTCTGCTCTTCTGCTGCGTTCTTGAGACGGTTGCGGGCAGAGGTACAGTGACCACTCGAGCCGTGCCTTCTGGACCGCCCGCTTTGTCCCTGTCCCAGCCTTTTCCTCGCCTGTACCGTGCGGGGGAATTATTCATCTTGCAGGCTGCCTTTGAAGGTCGCCGCAGAAAGTAAAGCTTGCTCGGCTCGCTTTGATGAAGCATGTGAAACAGTACGTGGCAAAAGGGCAGAGGGTGGTGGTGGAAGGGATGTGTCGACGACAACGATATGTGCATCACATGCATGCACGTACGTGAGCTTGCATGTGTAGTTCTTTGGGCTCGGTCCGTGAAGTTTTCGATGACCTGCTTGAAATGGTTCGTCGGACTATGGCCATATTATTCGTATGAATCAGTGACTCTTCCTGTCAAGAAAAAAATCCTGTGCTCTCCTGAGAAGCAAATACAAGATTAGGAATCAAATGCGAAAGCAAAGTTTAAATTTACCTTCGTTTTCTTCATCTAAAGAATGCTTGTGTTCCTGCTTGGGAAGAGAAGAAAAAAGAAGACCATGAAGTGCTTCATAATTCCCTGAACTTGGAAGTATTCTTCTGTAGGCAAAAGAGATTACAGATTCTTTGTTTTCACATTCACTACTCTCGAAGCAGAAAAAATGTTGTACACAGTGGAAGAGGCCCACCTTGTTGATCTGTAGCTTCTTTGTACACCGATCAACAGATGTAGCTGCCATCGGAGTTCTGTGCTTCAGGCAGAAGAACAAATTTACTGATGATGACAATACATAGTCACATGCATCTTAGTCAGTAAAACTGGGCTCCATTAGAACCAATCTGATTAAAATTGGGCTCTACACATATTAACTTTCAGATCCCTTCTTACACACCTAGTTCATAATTTCTGAAGCCTGGCGGTACCCAAGCCACTGCAAGTGAGAAAATGGTAAGCGTGGGAACAAGAATCACACAAGTTCTCAAAAAGAAAAAATGGGGGGGGGTGGGGGGTTAAAAACCGAAAGAAAAAAAAAAAAGGAGAAGGAATCAAATGAACCAAGGGGTTAGGTCTGTACAAGAATTAGAATACATAATCTGGGGATGCTTGACCGGTCAGGGGTAATTGATCGATCTGACCTCTAATCTCCAAGTCACCTGTTGGCATGTAAGATCAGCAAAAAGCTGGAAGGCTTGCGGATGACATAGAGGTCAAGTTTACCACGATGGAGTAATCACTATTGTGACTCAGTACCACGACTTCAGTCCGAGGCTTGAACCAGAGTCTTTCATGCTTGAAGCAGTGCCTGGTTGCAGCACCATCTTCTCCCAATCTGGACGGGGATCTTGCGTGGTGGTAATGCACAGATCCCCAGGAAGGTAGCACATGAGATGTAAGCCAAAATGAGGAAATTAGATATCATCTAACATCTTTTTCACGCCTGTTTGTATTCTCGGTTCTCGTCTTTGCTTCCAGCAGCTGCTGGCTCAAGCTTGTTTCCTTTGAATCCTGTTGAAAAATAATTGGTAGCAGAGTGAGGAAATAGTGGACTACTCACTACGAACCACAGGAATCTCGAATGCAAATGGTCAAGCACCAACATTTTTACTACTTGGTGTTGAAGCTTTAGACTTTTCCATCTCTCTCTCCTTCTCAGCTTTCTTCTTCTCAAGCTCAGCTTGCTTGCAATTCTCCTGATGTGCCCGTCGGAACATCAAGACAAAGTTCAAAAGTGTAGAGATGACTGCATTAATAATCATCTGAATATCACTTTAACTTGGAAAGGAAAGGCACATAAAGAACTTGAGTAATAAGTGGATATATTTGTTTGAAAACACAATGCAAATTGTGAAATGGCACAAATATATTAAGATTGAGTAGAGCTGATCGCAAAAGAGCCAACTTAGCTAGGCACACACCATCATTATGGAAAGAAGAGAATCAAGCATGCCAAATTATAATCAACATATGATTCTTGTCACATTGTATATTTCTTATTAATGTCATTTCCCATGAAATGGAAGTCCAAGGATATTCTCACTACCTCAAACTCATGTTTGGCTGCTATGTCAGAACAGCTTATACATAATATTTCACTGATATATCACAAACTTCTTTAATAACTTAGCCTTGTTGTAACTTTACTCTTGTTTTATTCTTGGTGAAAGTGTAGATTTTTAAGGAATTTGATACATACACTTAGTTCTCACATGACTATTTTTTATTATGAGACAGTCAGATCTAAGAAACCATGTTATATAACAACAAACCTGTGAAGTTCCAACTCTTTGGGGTCAACTACATGGATTTTTAACCGTCATTTACATCTTTAAAGAGTCGTGTCTTTAGTTTTTAGAGTCTTTAAAATTTATTTGTAGTTTCTTTTTTAAGGTTTCTCCGTCATCTCATAACACTAATAGTCAAGGAACCATTTTATACCTTTCTGAAAACAACAACCCTTGATATACCTTCCTAAATTTCCAAAGATCTGGGAAATTCCTAGAAAAAGTAGAAATGCCAAAATTTTTTTGGGAGGATCAATTTTCATCCCAAAAGGCATTGATAAGCAATGAGGCAGTAATGAAAACTTAAGCGAATGACCAATGAAAACACAACTTTGACGAATGAACCAATGAAAAGACAACTCTTAAATTCAATTCCGCACAGAAAAAAAAGGCATCACCGGTCACCACTAGACTGTCAGACAACACATAAAAGTTAAAAATAATTGGTAAATCAACAATATATTCAAGGAATATTGATGGCCTTTAGCTATTACAATTATCATGATGTTGGAGATGCAATCCCACAATTTGCCTAAACATACCAGCACAAATGTAGACGAGGATAAACCTACTATTTTAGAGATTTAACATGCATCAGAAGAAGGTATTATGAACATAGATCATGCAAATAGGTTTCGATGCTTTAAAAAGAAAGATTGGAGCCTTTTATATAATGGAACTTATTCAGTAAGAAGCTAGAAGACCTTGTTCAAAAGGGCAACGTGCAGGATCTTCACCAAAATATATGGCAAGGGCATCAGCATTTTTACCCTGTCAACACTCAAATATGTAAGATACATGACATGGTACACATTGAAGATCAGTCATATATGTTGTTAGCGACTAGCTGGCAACCCACCACTTCTTTATAGAGTGTCGTTAGTGATTGCACATCAGCTCCAGCGACAACAACAAACTCCTTCAAGGTCTACTCAATCAAAAGGGCAACGAGTTACAACAAAATTTGACAAACATGAAAATCCGGTCCAATCAGGAAAAGACATGGGAAATAAGCAACCAACCTTCATAAATCAGACTCAAATTTAATAATGACTTATCACTATTGTCATCATGTATATAAAGCATACAGTTTAGCTGGATATATATAAAAGCAAAATAAAGTTAGCTGTTTGATAAGCTAAAACGTGAGCAATGAATGATTTTTGACATGTGTTGCTTGAGTGATAAATGCAACAATGGATATGAAATAAGGTACCATTAAGCACTACTTAAAGAGAAATGCTAATTGGTCAAATTAAAGCCAAAAACAATAAATTTGATTCCAACTAGTAGGCTACTAGGGCAATTCTCAGCATTCTGTCTCTATCAAGTGCTATAACATTTAAGCAAAACAACAGAACATTGCATTATAGCTCTATCAAGGGCCACAACCTTCCTTCAAAAATATATATCTTTGTGAATAATAGAGAAGTCTTCTGTTCTTCACCTCCTAGGCGTCTCTAACATGAATTGCCATACAGTAGCCTTGCTGTAAGTATGGGTGCAGAGCTTTTTAACCATAGCAGTTATCTCATTCTTCAATAAGGCTCACTGTCAGAAATCACATTCTCCTCGCACTTGGGAGCTCATGTTCCCATGTTTTATTCATTCCCAGTGAGAGTTCTTTTCACCATTCCCTTGGAATATCAATTCACTATTTGTCACCTAGGGGTATCTAGCCTTGCAAGATGGCCCACCGCAAGTCTCAACAGATTCCATGTGCCCCATGCTAATCTGATCAGATCTAGCCATTAATGTTGGCCTAGTTGATATTTTTTTTATTTTCTGTTCAATGTTGTATATATCGTCTCCCAGTTATGCCTTGGCATGCTGTTGGTAAACTGGCACATGCCAAGTGTTAGACAGCATTGCACCAGGCAAGGGTGACATGGCCCCTGCACGAGACTAAACCATTTGAAGCATCACCATTTAAAGTACAATTCAACATTCTTAGTGGCATACTAGATTACCAGTTCCATAAATCTAATGCAAATACTAAAGCACCTCTCGAGGACAAAATTTAGTAACCATTTGACTTAGTCCATAGTAGCTATAGATCAGCCTAATAGGCTTGGCAGCCTTGGTGTGAGGCCAAAAATAAACATGTAGAATTCATTATCGGCTACTAATCCCACTAATTCTCACACGAAATAAAACAGAAATCTGTTTCATAGCTGGAGGCACAAGATACAACCTTCACAGAACACGTTAAAGGTGCAAAAGAAGACAACATATAACTAGTGAAACTTTACAGATATAAATGACTTTCCAGATTTAAAATAGTTCCGCCTAAACTCCACAAATCAATCAAAGAAGCAATATTTACCAAACTGAAATACTCAACTCTCTACTTCATTTTATTTAAGATCACTAACTTAAGACAAGATTGGACCACATATCTCCCAAGTATTCCAGACCAGTTGCATGGATCCTGTTTGACCATCAAGCTTATATATGGCCACATGATTTCATGTCTCATTATCTTTTCCTATCTATACTACCAAGATACTTAACATCCTTGTGACTGTTGCAACTTCCAACTCTCTCACTCCATCTTAGTTGTCCAAAGACATGGTCTCAAACAAGCATGCCAGAGCAAGTTTAATAATTTCCAACCATTTTGTCCTCAATCGCTACTCAGCTGGCACTGATTCCATTCATATACTTGTATCCGACTCCCCAACATGCATTTATAAATGAATTCTTCAAATCGGAGAAAAGAACCAATTACTAATGAAAAACTTTGCATTCTAAACATGAGCAGCAAAGTAACATTAGAACTTGGCTCTGACCATCAATAGTCAATCCTCCATTTGATAGCATAACAAATTTTTACTTCTCCAATGTATCATATTACACAAAATATTTTCCTTCTCATGATGGACTATTCTTCCTGATATGCCAGTTCATCTGTTGCACTGATCAACAGAAAATTTGACTGCAGATCTGCATACACATCTAACAGAAAATCAATATGCCCAACATGCTCAAATAAATGGAAATATTATTCAGATGGCAATGACATAATGATATATGATAGAAATTTGTTAAGCAGAAAAGGCATGTGCACTGAGATGTGTACAAGCATTCACACATGAGTTCTGTAATTAAAAGCAGAAAATTATAGAATTATTTCAGGGAGTAAACTTTTAAAAACGACAGTAGGTATTTGACGTTTTAAATTCTTATGAACAATTTTGCAAAATATACAACATAACTAAAAATATTAAACGATGATGATTTGAAGGATGCCATACTTTACGGAAAATTTCAGAGACAGGGCCATCCTTTTCAGATGCATTCAGCTCCAATTCAACCTTCTCCAGACCCTTGACAATGGCTTGCATTTCTTCGGCCAAGGATTTTAATTGTATCTGTATATAGCAACTTTTGGTCAAAGGTGTTCTCTCATGCTGCAACTCACCAACAACAACGGAAAAAGCATAGAACCTTTGATGCAGCTTCCAAGCTAGTAAGGTCCTCATAAAAATCCAGAAGATGTGGAGATCTCAAAGCAAGCACCTGATTTCATAAAAAGAAGTTTTCTGACAATCTAAAAGAATTTAAATTCACTTTGACAGGATGAAAAATATGATCACAAAATAAGGACAACAGAACCAAAGCCAAAGGTTTCTGACAGTGTTATATCATTTACTGATTTATGTTTATGTAACCTCCATTCATTTACCAGCAACCCAAGCCATGCAAAAATAAACTTGTGGTTAAGTATTTTAAATCAATTAGTGGCCGTGATATTTTTCAATAATAGTCTTAACTACTAGTCTAGATAATGGAAAGAAACATTAGCAAGGCCTTCCATTTATGGAGATAAACTAGCATGCATATCTATCTTAACATATTCAAAAGAAGGCATCTGTAGTATCATCGCAGAAGAAAATATTACAATATAGACATTTTCCTTAATAATAATAAAGCAGCAAAATAAAAATTAGATATGAACGGTCAGTGGGTATCTTCAATAAAATTGAAAGCATGTCCAATCATACCAAAAGCAAGAACAATGCTAACAAAATGAAAAATACTAAAGAAATCATATGTGCTGTACCTTGCACAAATAGTGCATAAGCGTCATTTTGTTATTAGTAGCACGAGTATCAGTAAGTTTAAGAATACTGTCCAAACGAAAGCCAATTGCTGAGCCTGCAAGTTAAACCAAAATGTTGCTTTAAATGAAGGTATATTAGAGAATGGATTTTAGTTTTTTGCTTTTTATAGTTGCACAGACTCTTAGTATCTCAAACCAACCACAAATATACAAGAAACAGATAACTTCCGATGTACATGAAAGATACCTCTTGCAGTTCCTTGATTTAAGGTATTACCAAGGAAAAGAATTTTCTTCATGATTTCTTTCAATTTGATAGAGTTGCGAATCTAACAAGCCAATTGTCATAAAGGTTAGTGCCAAAATCATATAAATCAAGAAGGAAATGCATTGAACTCCTCAAGACACACCTGTTCACAAGCAGAGTCTATGGTGTTCAGACTCTTTCTAAGATCAGAAACCTGGAAAAGGTGGGGAAATGGGATCCTTATCCATCAAGTTACTTAACAACAAAAACAAAATAGATAAAGTACAACCTGAGAGACGAACTGAATCTTGAAAGAAAAAACTCTTAATTTAGATTCCACTCGCGGAACTTTCATCAACTCCAAGAAATACTGCACCATGAAAATTTCAAAATGAATAATTTTTATGACATAATTTGCAAAGAAAGATTCAACAAGCATTGGATAAAATATTTGGATAAACAATAATACTAAAGCATTACCCTGGTCAGAATCCAGTTAATATGATGCCTCTTCTCCTAAATGCTACAGATAATCTATAATTAGCCTTAATCTAAACTGAGTTAATCAGTCATTACAAATTTGTATAATTTTGGAGACATAATAGAACATTTTTTCATAAGTTTATGTTAATCTTTAAACTAATAGAGATTAGGGATAATATTATTTCATCCATATGATAATCAGAATTTAGTTTCTACACAGAAGATGTTTGGAACTTTACTACATAAGTGGGACTATAGTTAACTTTGTGTGAAAATACACCAAGACCAAACTGACAGCAGCCGGGTACTTTACCTGCTCACACTTTCCAAGTTTTTCCTTGTCACCAGTATAGCCCTACCAACCAAAACCAGAAAAAAAACTAAATAAAACATAAGAACCTAAATTGAAGGAGCAAAGAAAATATCTTAAGAAAATTGTGAATGGAATGATTGTAACATGCACCTTGAGAAGCTCCATTTCCTCTTTGGTTGGACAAAACTTAATGAGATTTTCTACTTGGTCAACATCTAAAATGGAATCATCCAATGCTAAAGCAGCACTCTGAGGTAACAGCTATAACATTAGTGTCACTTCCAAATCAATACAAATATTTGTGCCTAGCTTGTTGACGGAAATCATGATAAAAGACAATAACTCAGTTTTTTATGCAAGCTTGTAAGAATGGATGATGTATGCTATTTAGCTACTGAGTAGCATTTTTTACAAAAAAATGCATTAATATGAGCTCGAATCTGTACTGAAGAACATTTCTCTGCTTGCAATTTGCAACAAATTCATTATGTAAGAAATACTTGCTGTTGAACATTTATTACTGCACGGAATAAATTACTTTTTATCGGGAGATGGTAACAGATTTCAGTACCTACTGAAACAAAAAAGTAAAATTTGACCTATAAAATCCTCTGCAACCTTCTTTCTTTATCCCCTAAGACTAAAAGGTAGAACAAACTTCCGTTAAATACTAATCGCATAAAGCCCATATATTAATGTTATATCAAAGATAAAGTACCAAAGTACATTTCATGCTTAGTGTGGTCAACAATTAATACATACAGACCCAGTGTAACCTTGAGTTAAGCTCTTGTCCAAAATGCATAATCAGATGTCTTGTGGTTAGAAGTAATGGATGGAAAATAATCAAGAGCAAGAGTGGTGCATCATGAAATTTGTATCAACAATATATTAAAAGAGAAAAAAAGGCAAAATAAATAAACATAACATAAGACTCCACCTTTAACGTACCATCAAATCAGGAAGTGGCATCTTGACCTTTGTCAGCATGATTTCAGTATTGTTGGCGCGCCTTAATTCAATCTATAAACAAAGTCGATACAAAGAGCTCATTAATTAAAAGATAAACAGAAGAAGAAATGTATGCGAGTGGCCTGAAATCACTGAACAAGCTCTCAATTTGTACTGTAATCAAGTCCAGAACATCAATAGGCCTAAGATAATGGCAAGGTCTAATTTTAGTTAGTTATGTTAAGCCAAGTTTTGACAAACAGAGTGGACTGATACGTATCACCCAATAAATACCACACATGGCCCATTGTCCAATTTTGGACCGTCCACATGTGATACAGGGTGTACTGCATGGTTTTCCTTTTATCCCAAAAGAGACCCCTGATGCCTCTCTCTCTCTCTCACATCCACATGTGATTCTCCTCGTGTGCCTGCTGTTGCGCAACTTGCATTCATATGCTGAGATAATCCCAAACAATGCCTAACGCACTTGCTGACAAGCTAAGCCCCTATCATGTGCCAGATATATATGCATGAATCATTTAAAGAACTCAGGAAATATATCACATTGAATACTTATCCTTATATCAGATCCATCTCCATGGAAGAATAGTGCTGCATATTTTCACCAAGAAACTGCCATCATATCCATAATTTATTAATAAAAGTGAGAATGTAGTATAAGAAAGAAATATTTTACTTAACACAAAGATTTAGAACCAAAAACTTTGTGGTTGTGTCCTTTGTTTATAATCAGACAGTAGAATTACAAAGTTCAAGCGATAGTGCCAAATTACTAACACAGAACATGTATCATAGTCGACAAAAGATTGACACCTTAAAGATTAGGCCATTTGCAATTTCTACCTGTATTTTGCTCATGACAACACCTAAATTTTGGACAAGCACTATAAGATTCAAGAGTTTGGCAAATAGTCGCCAAGGTCATTAAACCCCCAACCAAAACCCCCAAAAGAAAATCCAGGTCTCATGTATTGGTTCACTGGTCTTGTTCATCCCACATTGCAATCTTAGGGGTCATCAAGAAAAAAGAAGAGGAAGAAGAGAAGCAGGGGGTGGATGTGTCTACAGCCCCTGTCCAGTTGAAAAGAAATAAGGAGAAGAGGACAACAGAAGACCATGAGTCTGGCATAATCAGACTCCATGCCCTCTATCACTGCCCTTCTGCATCAATTTTCACAGTGACATGCTGCATGGAAGGAAACATGTTTCACTCTCTCATCACAGATTCCTTTGCTGTGAGAAGGAGTTACAAGATCTGAATCCCATAGGTCATGTGCAGCTCTTCTGATTATACTATTTGATGAGAAGAAAAAGGAGCATAAGAGAAGAGTAGAAGAGTGAATGAAGAGGAGAGGAGAGATGAAGAAGACAAAAGGAGAAAAAAGAGAAACAAAAATATTTTCAAAATAGCATTGGAAATAGATAATCCTGTTTTTGGTTTTGAAATATATATATATATATATATATATATATATATATATATATATATATTACAATTAACATATATAAAAATGGACAAACAACTGAAAGCAAACCCAACCTAAAATGCTGACCCAATTAGCACCCACCTTGATCCTATGCACCTGCATAGCCATCAGACCATATAACTAAACCGTGTACCATAGTAGACCATGACCCAAATAACTATTGTTTGACACTAAAAACTTGATTTACCAGTTCCTCTTTCTTTCTGCTCATAATACAACCAACATGCAGTGTTTACCAAATTCCTATGGCATTACGTAGTGAGTCAACAATGTATCAGAGCTAGAGCAAATTTTGCAAGGTAGAGGTCTCAGGTTCAAGTCCCATGGCATAAACATCATCTTTATTAAATCCTTTTCTTTGTCGACTTGATTTCATCCCACTTCTCCCATTTGTCTCCATGTGCCCCAATGAATTGATGCTTCCTTTTTTGTGTATGTTTAGATGGAGAAGCATTACAGTGGACAACGACAAGTTGAACAAGCAACTGACAAACTATAAATGAACAATGAAAAACTTTCCGTCTCTTAAACTGCAATATTCAGGTTTCAGATAACAGTGACTTACTAAGTGAACTTTATCGGATTTTGATCCAAGAGATTTGCGACGCCCGTCAGATTTAGAGCTATCATCTTTTTTAGGGACCACTGCAGAGAAGAGGCTTTCAAGTTCTGACACATCAAATTCTGAAGCACTGCATATATATGATTAAATAGAATGAGGAAGAATATCCAAAATAAAAGCAAGTATAGAAAAGATGAATGTTACAAGAAAAATATAAAACTTGTGCACTTAAATACCTTAAAGCATCACCAGATCTCTGTAGTTCAGCCCATAAGCTTCCTTGAACAGCTCTTGTTACTTTCACCCAATGCAGCGGCTTCAACAATGACCTACGCGGTGCCAAATTTGATGAATTTAAGGCTGCAGAACGTGTAAGTCCACGTCCTCTTGCCCCATTTGGCGATAATCCTCTAGCATCAGCTTGAGAACTGGATGGAGGAGGTGGTGGAGCACCAGGTGCTCTAGGTGGGGCTGGTGGCAGAGGTGTACGTGCTCCAGGAGGAGGCGGTGGAGGAGGTGTACGTCCTCCAGGAGGAGGCGGTGGCGGAGGGGCACTACCACGTGGACCTGGAGGAGGGGGTGGAGGAGGAGCACTACCACGTGGACCTGGAGGAGGGGGTGGAGGAGGAGCACTACCACGTGGACCTGGAGGAGGGGGTGGAAGTGGGACATTACCTCGTGAGCCAGGAGGAGGCGGTGGAGGAGGGGCACCACCACGTAGAACTGGAGGAGGGGGTGGTGGTGGGGCACTGACTCGTGAGCCAGGAGGAGGTGGAGGACCTGGCGGAGGTGGTGGAGGAGGAGCACCACTACGTGGGCCAAGATGCGGTGGTGGAGGTGGTGGAGGAGGAGCACCACTACATGGACCAAGTACAGGAGGAGGAGGAGGAGGTGGTGGTGGTGG